TCCTTGCTGGGCACCCAGCGGCCGCTCCCGCCCCAGAGCAGCGCGCGGCGGGCTGCAGGCGCCCTCTGGAAGGCAGCAGAAGAAAGCCCTATTCAGTTCGAATTTGCAGAAATTTAATCCGGCCGCGGGCGGCGGGAACAGATGCGAGCTCCACTCCGCAGCCTGGGCACTTTCAAATCCCTCGTAGCCCCTCCTTCCCCGCGCGCAACAGCCAAACTCGACCCTCGCTGGAGAGGGGAGGGCCCAGGGAGGGGAGCGGCAGAGAGCGCGGCGGAGCCACCTGAGCGCCAGACAGGGGGACCCCGCGCAGCCTCGGAGACGCGCGCTCCCGGCCGCCCAAGTCGGGTCACCTCCGGCTGCGCCTCTCGCCCGGAATCTGGGTTTGGGCTTTCTGGACCTTTTGGCGATGAAATCTCCCACCAGCCGCACCCATCCGGGGCAGGAGGAAGGGAGGGAGGTGCTCTCGACCTTATGGACTGTTGGTTAGGTGCCTGGTGTCCACCCCGGGGCCTGGCACACAGTAGGGCCCTCTGGACCCTGGATGGATGGGTAGAAGGAAGGGTTGGGAGGTGGCGGGACGTCTGCTCCCGCTCGCATGCAAACCAGACTGCTGTGCTGGAGGAGGAGCAGCTGCAACAATAATAGTAGCAGCAGCCACGTAGGAACCAGGGCGTTTGCTGCCGCTGCCTGTACGTTTACACCTTTGCTTTCCATTGAAATGCTGCGGGCGATTGCAGGACGAGGTGGACCAGCGCTCCCTGCTCCAGGAGGCTTTTGTTCTGCGCGCCCCTTGATTGTGTTCATCCCTCATAAACAAATACAGCTGCCCTGGGGATTCTGATCTCCGGGATCTAACAGCGTTTTTTCAAACCCAAAATGAGAAGCTCGTGAGGGAGAAGCTGGGGGATAGGTAGGGAGAGGCATTTACAAAATGCTACCTGTTGAGCAGCCAGATAAAAGACACCAACGCTTAATGCATACTTAACCCCTGATCATACAACGTCAGAGTTGAAAGAGAAGATTCGGTCCCGACCAACCATGTTCCTTTCATTTGACTTCTCGGCAAATAAGTATGGCATGATCAAGTCCCTTAACGGGGTGGGCGGGGGGAGGCGGAAATCGATGGGGAGAAGAATAGTTGTCATTAATCCAGCGTCTTAAGGGCTTTCTGGCCCATCTGAAAAATGACCCAGAGAAACATCTAATTTTAAATAGTATGCTATAATCAACTAGTCACATGCTACAAGTCACCGGCCTTGTTATGATTGAGCGGTGTTTTCTCAGTCTCCTCATTGTTTTCATTTTCCAATATTAAAGACACAGTTTCAAATGTTTTTCTCGCTGTGCGTAAGGGACTTCTTTGCCACCACCCCATCCTCGCAACTTCTACAAGGCCCACCCAATCGCTTTAATGTCTCTGATTCAATAATCACCTTTTAAGAGGACGGTAACATGGGAGAGGGGTGGGCAGGGCTGGATGGCCAGCACAGCACCTGCAGAGTCAATGTTCGACTGTCTAATGAATGAGGATGACTGAGCTCAATTAGGGCTTAAAAACCATTCTGAATCTTATTTCAGAAAAGGTTTTGGAGTTCCCCCAATGTTATATTAATAGAGTATGACTTTTAAAAATATCAGCACATTAGCTCTATATGAAAATTTAGCAATTCCTATATTATGGTGTGAGGCAAATGTCAGAGACTGTTTGTCAAAGCTTCTTTATGGCCAAAAAAAAAAAAAAATAGCGTCAGGTACAAAAAATGGTGGAAGACGAAATAGGGATTTTCTTTCCCTTTAATTATCCTCTCGGGGTGGAGGTCAGGAAAGGGCCAAAGAAGAGAGAAAAACCAGGCCCATTAAATCTTTTTCAAGCCTGATGCCTGGGTTTGATTCAAGTTCACTGCTAATTCCATCAGCTGGGATGGAGGCCAAAGAGAAGTCCAAATCCTACACCTGCCTGAGCTTAGTAACTGGTTTTTGAACTACAGGTCCTGTTCTATGAAATGACCCTGCTTAATAAGGAGGAACTCCAGAAATTCCTGTATGTAAGACAAGTTAGTGCACAAAACAATTGTGTATTGCCCTCATATTAGATATGCAGGAAACATCTGGTTGAAAAGCAGTCATCTAGCATTGAAGATTCTGTACTCATTATCTCAAATTTCTTATTCTCCTTTGGGGTCTCCTCGGGCGCTAGATTTCAGCGTCTTCATCCAGGATCAGGCTTCCTCACCTCTGCACCTTTGCATATGGCCCCCTGCTACCCCCACCCCCAGTCTGCTGCCTCTGCCTCCTTTCTACCAAGTATGGATGTTCCCTTCCCCATGAAGTCCTCTGCAATTAGTGAGCCGCACGAGGCAAATCACATCTCCATTCTTACTACATATCACTCATTGTACTTTCTTCTTAAGTCCTGTATTACTGTGAATGAATGTCTTTCTTTTTCTTATATTTAGACTCATTGAGAACAGGAGCTGTGTCTTATTTCATATTTTATTTGCCCTAGAGCACCGAGCACAATGCCTGAGACATGGCCATTGTTCAATAAATATTTGTTGAATAAATGAGTGAAAGTCGTTGTTCACTGATTCTCAAGAGAGTGGAGTTTCATGGCTGCTGAGAACAAGACCCTGTCTATCCTGGGGGAGGATATTTCTGATAACTTTCTAAAAGCATCTGCAGTTAATTGTCGGTTGCCTTTGGGGGTCAAAAAATAAAATTGTCATGTCAAAATGGGCCATTCTCTAACTTAGATGAGTTAACCCTTTTAAAAAAAAAAAAACATTACCAATCATAGTGGACTGGAAAGCCTTGAAAAGCTTTCTCGGTTGACTTGTACCAGCTGCTTCCTTCCTCTCCATCTCCTTCCCCATCTTCTTCCTCCATATGGTTGGGAGACTGTCTATGTGCTCCCACAGAACGCCAGTGAGGAGACCCAGCTGGAAGCAGTCAAAGACAATTAGAAGTAATCAGGCTGGCACGGCCAGAAAATGAAGTTGGCTGGTGACTGGAGAAGGAACTGGATAGCGAAGCCAAGACAGCAGGCATGAATAAACTTTGCCTGGAGGACGTTCTGTGAACTCCCTACATTAATTCTCCTTAAACAAAGCTTCCAGTAAATAATAGAGGCAGGACTTGTACCCTTGTCCTCAGGGTTCACGTCCACCATTATTCTTTCTACAACACTCAGCCGTCGAATGTGCACAATGCAAGGCTGAAGGAGGACGGGTTCTCTAGTCATCGAGACTGGTTTGGTGTGTGAAGGTGGCCAAGCATGGACTTGGAATTAGTTGAGTAATTCTCTAAAAATAAATCATGACTCATCACTTCTCTGTGCCTCAGTTTCCCTCATCTGTAAAACTGGGATATCAAGGACGTGTGAAGATGAAATGAGATTATGCACATAAAACACCTAGCCTAGTGCCTGCCACCTTAGAAGCACATGGCAAATCTTAGTTCTCACTTCTTCCGTCAATATTATCACAACCCAGAGAAGTCACTCGAGAATGCCCCAGAATTTCACAAACGTGACTGTCTCTATTATTGAGGCAGCCAGCTTTAAGTAAGGCCCAGAGGGAGGTCTCTGGAGGAGATTCAGGCTTCAGTGCAAGTGTCCCTGCTGCTTAGGCCATAGAAGCCAGCAGACCTTAGGTTACAAGAGATCAGTGGTGGGAAAAGTTCACACACACACACACCCTCACTCCTTTCCTGAGATTTCACCCAAATTCACCCAAAAATCTAAATCTAAGAGTCTTCCTTAGCTTCCTGTCCTTCCTGACTCGCATATGCAATCCCTCGGCAAACCCCGTGGGCTCTACCTTCACAATACACCCACGTGAGATCATTTCTCCCCATCCTCTGTCACCCTCTGTAAGCCCCCATCCTCCATCATCTCCTGATATCTCTTATTTCCACCCCAAGGTCAAAACCATCTCTTAAAAAATCAGAATCAGATCACATCACTTCCCTGCCCCCAAAATGTCCCCATCACAGAAAAGACACCCGCAATGCCTTATCTTAGCCTGGCCACTGCCTTTCTCTTCCCTCTTCAAGGTCTGTCTGGTCTGCTGAGACCCAGCCGTACCTGCCCTTTGCTCTTCATGCAAGCCACCAAGCTCTTCCCACCTTAGAGCCTTTGCCCTTGATGTTCCCTCTGACAGCAATGCCCTTCTAGATCTCCTTAGGATCTGTCCCTCCCCTCATTCAAGACTCTGCTCTCTCAATCAAAGAGCCATCCTCTCTACCCCCTCCCCCTGCCCTGTCTTTCCTTATGCCATTCATCAGTAGCCGACAGAAAAGTGCACATTAGTTCACGTGTTTGTTGTCTCTCCCTCTCGAATTTAAGTTCCAGAAAGCCAGGGACTTTGTCTGTATCCCAACCCCTGTGCACACCTGGCATGTTTAGGTACTACACAACTGTGGTACCTCATCTCAACTCTGATCTGCCTGTGCGTGAGAGGAGAGAGTCTCTGGGCTCTGTGTGGCACCTGGCGAGCGATGGAGGGTGGATGGTGGTACCAAGCCTGCCCTCCTACGACCACTCCCCAGCAACACTGAGCTAATTATTCAGGGTGAGAAACGAGCATTCTTCAAACAGGATGCTGATGGCTACCCCCAGAAGAGCCAGATTCTTACCATGGTTGTACCTCCACCAGTCCCCAAGGGCCAATGCCATAGGTATTTCAGTAAGAGAAATGCACCCCCCGCACACACCCAGCCATAGAAGAGCCCAGAGCATTAGAGCTCCACATCTTGAGGTTTGGCTCCTTCCTCCAAATCCAAATACAAGCTGTTGAGAAGGGATGGAAGTTAAAATATTCTATAGGAAGAGGCCATCACACATACTGCTTTGAACTGTCTCTCCTTGCATGCATTTCTCATTTGGAAGTGGCTTCCCATCTTAAGTCAAGTCAGTACCAATGTCATCCCCATGGCATCCCACCCTATGAGGGACCCACGCCCCTTCCCTCAGTCCTTCACTTCTCTGACCTTATCTATGCCTACTTGCATCTACCGCAGCCCACATGGCCTGCCTGCTGCTCCTCACGCACGCCAGGCTCTCTCCCGCAGTGGGCCCTTTACATTATCAGTTTCCTGAAATATCTTTCTCCCAAATATTTTGGAGTCTTAGTTCAACTGTCATCCTCTCTGGGAGCCTATGTCTGACCTCTTCATTTACAATGCAAACTTCCTCCAGACCACACCCTCCCCCCGACCCACTTCCTGCCCCATTCCCCCACCAACTCCCTACTCTCCTTCTCTGCTTTGTTTTTCTTCATGGCACTTCATGCCACGTGACAAGCCATATATTTTCCTTATTTATTTTGTTTACTATCTGCCTTCCTCCTTAGAAAGGAGGTTCCATGAGGGCTGGGATTTGTTTTTAAGTGCCCTATGCTTGGGGCCTGGCACATGGGAGGTACTCAGTACACACCCGTTGTGGGTGAACGAATTTGTGACTCACAGAGTCTCCTGTTGTGGTAGAGGGGACTGTAATAAATGGGAAAGCAGAAAAAAGAAACACAATGAAACTGAGTCCTGCTGGAGAAAGCATGCATCGTAAAGGCATATTTGAAGAAAATCAATATTCGTGCCACAGAGATAAACCTCCATGACAGGCTCCACATTTGTATTATGGAGGAAGGAGAGTTTATTATTAGCACAAAGCCTGAAATTTATGGCCTCCATCTGTAGGTGCTAACGCCTGTCTATTTCTTGAAGAAATGGACAGCGTCAACTGGCGTGCAGTGGGACCTGGAGAGAGCACACATCACGGATAACTCTAAAATGTGACCACTGGGAGGAGATGCTATGAGAGAAAGGCATTCTGGAATTGAGCCCACTTTCCAGTCACAGTCTGGGCACTCAGGCAGGCTGATGGCAGAGGGCTGCTTTGGCCAAGCAGGCAGCCGGATGCAGGCAAGAAGAGGCAGGCGCCCCCTGCTGACTGACTCCGCTCTTCTTTTCTCTCTACAGACTGAGAGGATGCCCAAAGAACCACAGACAGAAAACTCCCAGAAACCAGAACCTCCCTCACTGGCTGGCTCCCTGACCCTGGACAGGGCAGTTATCACCTCTGAACATTAGTTTTCTCCATCTGAAAAGGAAATAACTCCTCTCTGTCATTTCTAGCTCCCAGGACTGTTGCCAGGATAAAATGAGACAAATATACGTGAATATGTCAAACAGTTATTGCTGTCTTAAGTCAAAATGGAAAGTGTCTAAGACATAAATTAGAAAACAATAAATTTAAAATAAAATGAAAAGTTAATGGTTGAAAGCTGCAGTCGTTCAGTGCCTCTTCTTTTCAACGTGGAGGCTTTCTAGCGCATGTTGACGTGGGTGTAAATACCTTCACGCTTTGCGCCCCCTGTCACAGGTCCATCGAACACCCCTACCTCGTACCTCCATAACCCTGATACTCAAATTTTTCTCTTTCTAGGCTCTTGATTAACTGACGAGGCCATTTGTTACTTGCCAATGAGTCTGTACGAGTAGGTATGTAGGTAGGTAAGTGATAAATACATGATAGATAGATGAGAGAGAGAGAGAGAGAGAGAGAGAGAGAGAGAGAGAAACTTCTCCATCCAGACCGGGTGATGACCAGGTGTGCCACTGAAGCTCCATCCATCAGAAGGAGTTCCCCTCACAGATATCTTTAAGGCCACTCCTGAGGGCAGCCACAGTGCAGTCACTGTCTCCTTTTGGCTTGCACCCACACGAACACCATCCAAGAACCAAGCTCATGCTTCTTCTTCCTCTATCGGCGGGTCATAAGGGACCCGGTCCCAATCGTGGCCATAGGTGTGAGCTGATGGGGAGTTGCTGGTGCAGGTTATGGAGGTCTAAGACACCTGCTTTCACAGCTCCCCTGGGCCCACAGGCCCTGCTTGTTTTCAATTCGGATGCTGAGCTTCTCTCCGGCAGTGGATGCTGCGGAGCCCACTGAGTCCTACCCTGATGAGTCTGACAGCATCCAGACTATGACGGGCAGTTCTGGAGGTATGTCACTTGGTGTCCTGTGTCCAGATGCTCCATCTATCAGAGTCCAGAGGAGTGCACCATCATCTCTTTTATGTAGAATGTAAAATTCTCCAGTGCACATGGCCTGGCCTTGTTCCAAAACCCTAGGAGTCTGCATTATAGTTCTCCTACTGGGACTTATTGTAAGTCACACATGGTAATCTTTTCCCACCACTGATCTCTTATAACCTAAGGTCTGCTGGCTTCTATGGCCTAAGCAGCAGGGACACTTACACTGAAGCCTGGATCTCCTCCAGAGACCTCCCTCTGGGCCTTACTTAAAGCTACCAGCCTTCTATGCACCCCAGCCTATGGGTTGAGAGAGTATTCCCAGGTACAGCATATGCCCCCTCCTATAGGACCTACCAGCACTGTGCTGTCTTCTTCATGATGGGGGATGTGAGACGCAATAGTTTGTCCTTTATTCTGGAAGGCAGGCTCCAGCATACTTCAAACTGCTAGACTCTCGCAATGAGGCAGTGGGCCTCTGAAACGTGGGCTTTATCTTCCATATGTCTTGCCAACACCTCCAGTATACTCACTGCCCCTTGTTCATCCATTTGATTGTCATGAGGTATTGATAGAGTGGGCCAAGGTGACACTCTGCAGGATGTCCAGCTGGACCAGTTCTCTTTAGACTATATATGTAACATAGAGAGGGAGAATGAACATAACTCAATGGAAAACTGTAAGTATATACTATTGCCTGTTCTAAGTGAATGTAAATTGTTTTTTTTTCTACTTTCTTATTGTGATAGAAAAGAATATATCTGCCAGATCGAAGACTATATACCATGTACTAAAGACTGTGTTTGTCTACTTTAGTGGAAATACCACACCAGACACAGTAGCAGCAATCTGTGCTACTTCTGGCTATGTTTGCAGCAATCCACTGTCCTTGCTCGAGATCCAGTGGTCTTTACAGGGGCCAGGCTGATGGATTAAATGGAGATATGCTGGGGACATCATATCTACATTCTTTAAGTACTTAAGGTTGGAATTAATCTCTAGTATGCTTCTTGGGATCAGCAACTTTCTTTCAGTTTTAGGGTCTTCCATTTGGCCTTCTCGACTATAATATCTCTTACCTACATGCCAAATAGTCAATGCAGTGGTCATGGCAGGTACCAAATATAGCCACTCCAGTTGTACATTTGGAAACTGTGGAGATATCACTCCATGAGTCCATGGGTATGAAAGACCCACCGTGAGCTTGAC